TTTGGAGTTCACACACAACATTATTACCAGGGAACCTTTTTTTAAGACCTAAGAACCTACAAAAAAGGGAAAATAGGCAGGAAAAGGCACTAGAAGGCAAAATAAGGTACTAAATAAAGACAAAACCCGAAAAATAATTAAAAAATGCATTTATTTTAGAAATGTTTATTTTACAAGTAAAAAGAGAAAAACTATGAACTACATACTTTCATTATATGAAAAATTTCTACTTCGAATCTCTGACAATTTGCTCCATTTGAGTTTGTAATTTAGTAGTTTTAGGTTTATCGCGTATAGTTTCAGAAGCTCGTAATTTTAAGAACTTTTTAAGTATGTATTGTATTCTACAAACAATTACGAATAATTTTATACCTTAGCAAGAGGTGGGCTGTCAGAATAATCCAACTTTTAAAGATAAAATATTCAGCAACCTTGAGCGTAATTTTTATTCCAAAAATATCTTAATTGCAGGCATATTTGGAAAATACGTCAAAACTATCTAAATCTTTTTATAACTACTAGGCCTTATAACATTACATATACCTGTAAAATGTATTGCATTTTGTCATACTAAAATTGAATGGACAATGCATACGTAGAATTTTTCTAAAAGATCTGAATAGAAAGTTGCAAATTAGTGTGCAAATTTATTGAATTTTCCTGAGTTTTGCACAAAGTTTAGATATTTTATTTTTATGTTTTTTGGTGTAAAATAAGCTATATTTTTATAAAAAATTATCGAAAATAAATTTGAATAAAAAACTTTGTATATATTGCGAAAAATTCACTGTTCACCAATACGACGACGAAATATGTAAATATTTACGTATGTACATATGTTAGTGTTGCCAGATTTTTTTTGCAGCCATACAGGACAAACGCATAATTTGTCCCAAATATACGGAATTTACAAAAATTTAACGAGACAAATGAGAAATAAAAAATTTGCTTTAAAAGCCCAACTACGAACCATATATTTACAAAGGTGATCCATTTGATCAAAGTAATGTTCAGATTAGTTATAACTTATGATAGCTTATGATAAATTTCGTTTATTTCATGACAACACTTTTTAATTTATACAAAGATATGTGTGTACATAGACAAGAAAAGATAACGCGCAAATTAAACTAAAAAAAAAAAAAAATGTTCATCAAAATTTCGATTTTTTATTAGATTTTCTAGAAAGATTTTGAGTATGTAGTTTTATATGCCATTCAATTTTGTTATAATAAAGTGCAAGTTCCAAGTCACTAAAATTACCATTGATTTTTTAGAATTTTTTTTGTGGATGGTGTTGCCTATTCGTTATATGGAACAATATTCGCAACACCCTCCACAAAAAAAAATTCTTTAAAATCAACTGTAATTTTTAGCTATATTTCTCTTACAGAATTGTGTGCAATAATGCTTGCTAAATAATGACCTGCTCACAATAGTAGAAGTTTACAGGTTGAAATGAATAATAAAATAATGAATCGAAAATTTGGGGAAAATCTTGTGCCGGCGGAACATTTCAAATTTAATGCAAAATACGGGATGCCCCGTATTTGGCAGCACTAATGTATGTATGTATGTGTGTATGAATATCATCAACTCTTAAAATAGATAGGCGGTGAGTCAACCAAGAAATTTGGCTTAGGTCCACAATATTTCCTGCTTTGCGATTACATATATGTATTAACTCTCCTTAATTCTGTTTATATGTTCCTTGACTTCAACTACCGCAAACGTGACTTGCCTCTGCTATTGCCATACATATTTCTCGCGCACATTTCCATACATCTACTGCTTGAAATCTGTTAAATTGATTTCGTACATAACGTAAATACAAAAGTAAATACCGTCGATCATTTCGCAATTCCACTTATTGCAAGCATGTCCACTCTTAGAGAGAGGTTTGTTCTTATATAGTTACATACATACATACATATCATTATTTGCCGATGGATGACGGCACATTGTACTCATTCCGCTTTGAATCATATTCTCATTTGCATGAATTAAAACTTTATGTATGTATGCACGTTAGGGTGGTCAAAAAAAAAAATAGAAAAGTCGGATTTTTAATGCTCTCACCCCCTAGGATTGTTCTATATCGAAAAAAAAGTATAGGCTTATTTTTGATTTTGAAATCAAAAAATATTTAGAGGTCGCTCAAAGCGCTCAAAGTTTTCAATGTATTTTTATATGGGAAAAATATATTTTTTTCGATCGGAAAACTCTCTGGTTCTCTTCAGGAGACTTTCAATGATAATACCCAATTGCCTATTTAACCATTTTTTAATAAAAACGATTTTTTATTGGTCGCCCCATTGCATTTTCGGGGTTTTTGGCGGACGTATAAATTATAGTTGCAATGAAAAAATGGTTAAAAAAACAATTGTGTATAAACAGAGATTTCTGGAAGAAAAATATTAATTTTTAACTATTCTATACCATTTATACGAAAAGTTGATTTTTCCCCATATAAAATACATGGAAAACTTAAGGCGCTTTGAGCAACCTCTAAATATTTTTTTGATTTCAAAATAAAAAAAGAAGGGTATATTTTTTTCGGTATAGAACAATCCTAGGGGGTGAGAGCATAAAAATTCCGACTTTACTTTTTCACATGCATTTTTGGACCACCCTAATGCGCATATGTACATATGTAACTAAGAATGTCCATAAGTTGAGCTATAGAGTCATAAAATGGCATGAATATCTAATGATATCAAAATTGATATTTATTTGTTGGAAACTAATAACTCTATTTCGACGGCTGAGTGGAAGAACGCCCTATCTCAGAAAACTTTTCAAGAACGTTCTATTTCAGAATTTGGTAGGTATGCATAGTAGTCCAAAAAAAAGCAATTTAATAAAAAGTAGGTGAATTGTACTAAAAGTGTTTCGAATGTAATGCCAAAAGTCTGAGTTTTGATATAAAAATCGGTTACAATGTCACGCAGAAGTGGGCAAAGGGTACATGTAAGGATTTAATACTGTGTAGGCACTTAGTCAACGAATTTTCATGAGCGGCGTGGTTCGAATCGCAGCTGGAGCAAGTTTTAATTTAATTTTTTTTTTTTTTTATCTAAAATTGGTTGCAATGTGATACAGGAGCGGACAGACAGTTGGTCCGAGCTTGGGACATTCAAGATTCAGTGGTCAATTTTAAATGTAAATAGCGTTTTGTATTTGCTTGAACTAAATTTTGGATTACTTACAATCATTTTTGGATCTTTAAGCAATAATTTATTCTTACGCTTCGCTTAGTTCAAAATCTTTCGGTTAGAACTCAATAGCTTTAGCTTTATTCGCATAGAATTAGGAAGCAAACCTAAGCTGTAAAAAACTGAAAAAAGATCATAGAAAATTTCGTCAATTAATTAATTTGGGAATTCATAAGTCGTGTTAAGCATCGCTGTATCCTAAAGTCTTTAAATTTGTCTATGTAAAATTGGCGGCGATCGCTGTGGTGTAGTGGTTAGCAGTGCCAACCGAAGTTCGAAAAATGGTCATCGAAATTTCAAATTTTTTAATTGGAATTTCTAGAAATAATTCGGGTAAGCAGTTTTGTAGTCCATTCCATTTTAGTGTTCGGTTTAAAAACGCCCTATCTCTGAAGAAAATACATTCAAAATATGCTGAGATAGGGCGTTTTTTAACTGAATTCTGAGATTAACCAAATTCTGAAATAGGGCGTTCTTGAAAAGTTTTCTGAGATAGAGCTTTTTCGAACCGGCTGCCGAGATAGGCCCATCTTCCACTCAGGTATCGATAGATATGTATCTGGCTTATATTTTTCATATCCAAGAAATTTTTGAACAGAACAAATACTGTTTTTTATAATTCCACCAAATTCTAGGTTTCATTAAAAAAAAAAAAACTTAACAAATAAATATAAAAACCTTAAAGAAAATTAAAGCAAGAATGATATAAAAATAAGGATGTTTATGGATGGGTATGTTTACGGCTCCCTTATATTCTATGTTCTTTGAGATAACGAAAGTTCTGGCCACGTCCGAAAAATGGTTTTTGGGCTAGAGAACACGGTGACTTCTATTAAATTAATAAAAAAAGCACACTTACACGTCCCGACTTTTAAAAAATATTCAGCGGGACAACTTTCTCAAAATCGGTACTGTCCGGCCAAAATCGGTACGAATGTGGTCACCGTAGCCCTAATATACAATATTATTTCAATACTTTAAGTTTGTGGGAAAACGCTATCAAAGTTTGGCCAATTCATACTTCAGTTGATATACCACAAGTACTTTTTCAGAAAAAAACAAAACCGACTTCAATTCTCATATAAAAATTTAAGATTACTGTTCATTTCTTCCTGATGCGATGATTGAATTTAAATCAAATTATTATGGGACCATCTGTGAGGTAGCATCTTTCATCTAGAAAAAGTATTATAGAAATCGGTAAACGTGGTCCAAAGTTATGCGGTAACATACATAAAAGAAAATATTCCGACGAACTTTAAATTTGCACTTTGACATAAAAATTAATGGGCTACCATACTGCATGCCCGAATATTTGATTCAGTAAAAAATCTTGAAATTTGTACTTTCATAATTTAAATGCTCTACATGAATGTACGATGAGGAGTTGGGGTTGTTTGTTGTGTACCCACGCCGCAGAAATACTGTGGTGATGTGGATGACGCACGAACAGGGGTTTTGGATGTACATATTCTAAAATGGATACAAGAGCCACAAGAAAGATGAAATAACGCCCGCGGGCTATGGTTATAAACTAATGGCCTTCTTCATAAAAAAATAAAATAGATTTGAAGAGCTCTATAAAGTGACACTCTCATACAAATTTTCGATCTATGTATAAAGCAGTTAAAGTCTTTATTTTTTATGAATTTTGCTGTAAATTTTTATAAAATATACATAATTAAAATTAAGTAACAAATAATAAATTGTCAATATGTATTTTCAACTTGTAAAAGTAATGATGAATTTATTTAAGACCAAAAAATTTATAATTATTTTATTTAGGTTCCTCTTCTTGAGCCTCGAGATGAACCAGCTCACACTCACTACAGCCACGATCCATATTCGGTAGAAGTGTCGAGTTGCCGTGCGGCAAACAGCGAAATTGTGCTGTCTTTAGTACTGAAAAGTCGTGATTGGACGGATTTGAGTGACAATAAAAAGGACAAAGTACTTGAGAAGTTATCCAAGTTCTTTGCCATACCGAAGGTAGACAAAAATGTGACAAATAAGAAATGCAACTAAATAAACTAAATAATTTACTCTTTATTCACTCCATAGGAATTTATCGTTATGGAATCTGTAACAAAACGCGAACTCAGCGAAATGCAAAAGGAATCAATACGCAGAGGTCATAATAAGTGCCATAATAATTATAATCGTCCTCTGGGACGCGTAAGCTTTGTGGTAAGTTGGCTGGAATGTACAGATGCGTGCAACTAATTAGCAACGAAATTCAAAACGATATTGCATGCAAATTATGTTTATTTATTTATTTTTAATAATTTTCATTTAAAATATTATTCAATCTATATCAGAAACCACAATAACAAAAGTTGCAAAGCTTGCACAAATTGCCAAAAAAATTAATCAAACTTCAAAAAATTGTCATCAAATTTCAAAATTTTTAATTAGACTATTTAGAAAATTTTCGGGTATGCAGTTTTGTAGCCCATTCAATTTTAGTATAATAAAGTGGAAGTTTCAAGTCGCTAAAAATTACCGTTGATTTTTTAGAATTTTTTTGCCGAGGGTGTTGCGGATTTTTTTCCATGTAAAAAAAAATTTTGATGACAATTTTTTGAAGTTTGATTAATTTTTTTGCGATTTGTGCAAGCTTTGCAACTTTTGTTATTGTGGTGTCTGATATAGATTGAATTATATTTTAAATGAAAATTATTAAAAATAAATAAATAAACGTAATTTGCAAGCAATATCGTTTTGAATTTCGTTGCTAATTAGTTGCACGCATCTGTACATATGTATTTAGTTAACGTTGCATGTTATAATGAGCTAAGCCTTGCCAAATTCACAGTAACATAATGTCACGTTGTATATGTATATTTGAATATTTGCATTTTTTTGTATTTAGCTTGGCTGTGGATCTACATATTTCACAATGAGTGAGCCTATAAACAAACAAATTGGTGCCCAAATGAAAGATGGTTCTATCGATAATATAACTGGTGAAAAGTTCGGTTGGTGGGTTATCTGGCGCAAACAGTACAAAACGAGGTAAACAATGAACTTTATTCTTATACATACATATGTACATACATATTACTCAATTATTATTCTTAAATTTCACTGAAAAGAGCGCAACGTAATCGACGTCAAACCGAGGGTTCTGGTACCGATGACGCCGGTGACGATTATGACTATGTATACGATGATGATGATGAAGATGTCGTGTAAGTATCGAATCGAGAGTAATTTATGCTTTTATTCATACTATCATAAATGCAATTTTTTTGCTGTTGGCTGAGGAGAAATTTATTTTGTGGGATAATGTGAGGGCTGCTTCATATATTTTGCACCTGACCATAGGGAAGAATAAAAATACTCTGCACAGCTTCCACGTGCGTTAAACGACCTTGAACACGATTGTGTTTATGTGCGGGAATAAAAAGTAGGCATTAAGTTATTTACCAAATTGAAGCTGTACTGCCAATTTGATGGTGTTGCTGGCCAAATAGGCGATTGTATTTTTTAATGCTCAATTATCTCGTAGAATTTTTCTTATCGTATGCCCATTAGAAAGAATATATTTTTAATAGTCATCAACGAGGGAAAACCAGTTTCGATGCTAGTCGATGACCTATGTATATGCCTACTTATCACTTATGACGAAATGCTTTCACATATTTTACACGTTTACTAACAGAGCTAAAAGCTAAAAAAAAAATTCACTTGCTCCTTAGCTTCTTAAAGAAAAAGTTCCAGTTAATAAATTTACTTATTTTTGTTTTTTTATGCCATTGAAACCCACTGCGTTAAATAAATTTCCATTATATTTATTTTGCTTGGCAATACTGTTCAACAGTCAGAGTCACGTCGCACATAAGGCAAAATTGACGATTTTGCTGGACAAAAATAACAATGGTTTACTGCAAAAATGTTCTATGGATGCCACTACCGAATTCCTATGTAGAATTGCCCGGTGGTTCCGAAAATCTAGATATTTTTTTTTTTATGGATAACTTTTAGAGATATTTGCAATTTACCGTTACCGTGGTTTCACTTAATTGCGTATCTGACGAACCAATAGTTTCTGAGAAATTAATTAATAATTTGCCTCTTGCTTTCTATGCAAAACTCTACCTACTCAGGTGTACGTGGCGTATGAGTAACACTCTTTTCTGCTCATATTTCATACAAAAAATTCTTGCGCATTTTTATTTGACCAATCATTACTTTCTTATTTATCCATCGTTTTTCTTCAAAACAAAATTGAAATTTGTGAACCAGTGTAATTAACTTGCGGTTTTGGCTCGATATGTAAATAAATAAATAAATAACCAGTAACTTTTAACCAAAAAACACAACCGACTTCAATTTTCATATAAAAATTTAGGAGCACCGTTGATTTCTTCACGATCCAATGATCGGGTCTAAACCAAACTACTAGTATCGGACAACCCTTCAGGTACCACCTTTTCGATTAAAACGGAATTCAAAGTGTAACATACATAAAGAAAATATTCCGATGAATTGATAATATCCACCTTCTTATTTTAAAGTCGGTTAAAAAAAAATTTTAATGGGAGTGGCAGCGGAGTGATGAAGAAAAACCTTTGCTCCGATGCCAAGAATGATAGAATACAAGATTGCACATTCTCGGCGGCGATGTCATTTCTCGTGTAAAAGTACACAAAGCCGAAGAGGAGGATAAGAGAAAATGTTAGAAAAGTCAACTTTCTTTTAATATTTCATTTTTCGATAGGAAACGTTTTTTTTATTGATTTACTTTGTGATGAAAATAAAGGTTTTGTAATAAAAATTAATAAGGAAAGTGTAAAAAACGGTGAAAGAATAGTGAATTTCAGTGGATTTAAAGTTTTTGTGGGCGTTGTTTACTATAAAATGAGAACTGTCAAAGTCGCCAAAGCCAAAGTAGCGGTTCGCGGAATGCCTCGCCTTCTGTTCGCTACATTAGGTTCCGAAGTCCTATTTACTTAATTTCTAAAATCCATTTTTTTTTTTGTTTTTATTATTGTAACTGAAATTAAAATTTGTATTTATGTTTTTCTAGAGAAAACGTGACGGAGTTACCAGCTGTCACCACTCATGCTCATCGCCACCATCATGGCGTCGGACAGGTGAGTTTCCTATTGAGTCGAAAAAATTCAAGTCTTATGCATAACAACAAATAGAATTAAATAATTTAAGTGTTTCGCGAGGAGTGGTTTACGTATTCGTGGTTATTGTTTAGGTTTTCACTTATTTCAATAATGCACTTTGTAATTAAATAAATGAATCGTTTCATTGTCAAAACAAGTTAAGAAAATCACTCAGACAATCATACATACATACATGCCCGGTAAACACATTTGCTCTCACGCACACAAACACGGCAATAAGTATTTGATTAATCTTATAAAAATATAAGACATCTTTATTAACCTAATGATGTTTCTTCTTTGGTCTTTTTCTTCTTTCCGTCTTTTCCTGTGCTAACCTTCAAACGTTTTCTGTGCATTCAAATTGTATTTCATATTGACTAACTGTAAACGTTTATTATTACATTCATATACATTGTATGTATGCGGCTATTCATGGGCACATAAAAACACGCATATATCACACTCACATACTCATATGCACACACATTTACGCACGACCGACTGCCTATATTTTACATTGTTGTACGTTGGTAGTCAAATCTCGGAGATAATAATTCGGGGATATCATCAGTTTTGGCATCTTCGGAATCAAGTGGCCAAATCACACAGCCGGACAACGCAATTGAGGAAAAGGTTCCAGCTGTGGCGCCTGTGTCATCAAGCCATCAAGCCAAGCAGCAGTCTCCTTCAACGGGCGAATCGAACTTCCTGGTACCAAATAAAGAAAGTAACATCGACGAAGAAATAGTTGAGAGCGTTTCGCAGCTGGAATCGGTTATAACCAAAACTATCGAAAATACGAAAAACATCAAAGAGCTCCCTGTTATAGAAGAAGAAGGCGGCGGCGAAGATGTTCCTGTGGCAGTGGAAATTGAGAAAGAATTGGGTATACCGAACACTCTTGAAGAGCTCAATACACAACTCGCCCAATCAAACGATTTAGATACAAATGTCAATTTAAAAAAGAATCAACCAGTAACCTCTACTAGTTCTGGGCATGAGTTAACAACAAGTGACTCAACACAATTACCGTCACAATTTCGCATTGAAAATAACATTGAAAATGAATTTTACTCGTTTGGAGCAGCTGCCAATGTTTCTGTTGAGGCGAATGCTAAGGGTAGGTCAGGCGCTTCTATTGTTCAAAATAAGAATGGACGACTTGGTACTGGTTTTACAAACAAATCTATGCCACCATTGATTTTAAATGAGTTGGAAGTAGCGGCATCAACACCGCCGTCTATTGTGGAATTAGACACTTCGTCGTCAGCAGCGATTACTTTGGAGCCGTTTATGCTCAGCACTACAATTGCAAATCCTATGAATGCTGGAATGGCAAATATTGAAACGGTTTCATTGTTACCACTCTCAGTAAATGAGAGTCAAAAAACCGCGGCAACAACACTATCACCTCTTTCATCGGTAAATGCAGCCGTAGCCGCGACCTCATTATCCGCATCCACGTATTTCACTGCTTCGACCCCTTCTGCGCTTTCATCATCATCATTCTCTGTATCACCTTCGACCGTGTCTTCGACGGCGTCTTCGTTTACTTCGTCATTCGCGCCCCCATCAATATCATCAACAACCACAGCTTCATTAACGACAACAACACCATCCATCACCACACCACCACTGTTAACTAAGGTAAATACTGAGTAGCTGTCATTCATTCTCGTTCTTGAACATTTATACTCTAAAAAAAAAATTGTTTCTACTAAAAATTGTTAATGTAAAAATGTTACATACTTACCTACATATATGTATGTATGTATTTCCACTATCGTCCTGTGTTTTCCTATGGCTCGGTATTTTACGCTAGTATTTTAACTAAGTTTTCCATTTGTGTTGTTGATTATGTATAATCATTCATGAGGTTGAATACTTACTCGGCAGATTTGTAATTCATTTTAGTTTTATATGCATAAGTAAGTGTATTTTTTACGAAATTTGCTCTTTGGCGACATAGTAAATCTACAGCTATGATTTTATGAGTTGTTATTTCTCTGCTTTCCAAATTTCCATACATATATTTTCCATATTTGTTTGGATGACTTTATTTACATATATACATATGTACATATGTACTAGTCCGGTCGAAATTCAAGTCAATGCTATTTAGTTTTTGACACAACTTGGCACTCGATATTTACAATGAGGCTGATATTATTAGATATATCGAGGGTAGGTAACTATGTACATATCGTCGGTGGTATGGTCTACGTCAAGTAGTACCCTTGGCACTTGGATGGTATGTTACCTGCACCGGAATGCATCTGAAAATCGATACACTCTCATAAACTTATGACAAAACTGTCTTCCTTTGGCTGTTAAATATGAACGGTTATAAGAGGCGATCAGATACGGGTGACGGAGTCGGAAGGTAATGAGAAAGCGGGTCATCTTGCCAGACTGGCTGCTGTCTCGATCTCGATAGGACCGGAGCCCTTTCTTTCAATAAAGGAAGCGCTCGGGAAAGAAAACACCAGGCTAATGGAACTGCATTGGCATAATACCATTGGACTTCGTCAATCAAAAAGATTACTAGGAGGGTACAATCTAAAAAGATACAGGATACTCATGGGCCTCCATAGGGAGAAACTAAGGATCATTAAAGGGCCACTGCAGGTTAGGAGGTCACTTGCCAAGGAGACTTCATTACACCTCCTTCTGGAGTGTGAAGCCGTAACAGAAAGAAGTGAGAGGAGCATAGGGCTTTTATGCCCAAGAGATGAGCACATATACTCTCTACCCCTGGGATCTGTTCTGAAATTTCTAAAGTCTCTAGGGGCTAGTTGAGGTACTGTGAATCATGGTTGCCATTTTGGCAACCGTTTTTGGCACATTTTTTCTAGTTTGGTACACTGGTACACAACTTTTGGATTTGGATTATTTTTAAAATCGTACAAAAATAGATAATTACACAGTGTTAGTAAAAAGCATAAAGTAGAAATACCTGGGAAGTTATGTATATTTTTGGATAGGTCTTTTCGAGTAAAACCAGAATCCAAATAAAAAGTTTGCCAAACACCCCCAAAATCTTGGTTTACCGTTAAAAATGCAGTTTTCGTACTTTTGCGCACTTATAAGCCTGTAACTTAGTTCATTATGATCAGAGCTTCGGTTTATTGCCGGGTTTAAAAAGAAGAAACTTGGGCCTTTCGAATGATATTTATGCGAATAAAGAAACCTTATGAGATCTGTGTGTATTTACCCAGCAAACGCATTTTTTTAACTTATTTTTTCGCCTTTTTTAATTTTGGTAAGGTTTTTACGCACTTTTTCGTAAGAAAACCATACTAGTCCCAAATTGATTGTAAAACCAAATTTAATAACGAAAAAACTAGTGTTTATTTTAAAAAATCGGATGCAAGTTTACTGAGTTATTTAACTTTTTATGAAAACAAAATTTTTGCAAGAATGTTATTTTTGACCCTGCTACTCAAAACTGGTTTCTTAACAGTTAGATATAGAAAAATGTATACATAAATGAGCATCATGGTACAATAATTACAGGTATTGTCTTCCCAGAGAGCGCATATTCCGATCTGCCTTATTTGAAAAACATCATTGTTGCCCACACTAAAAGGTTTACCGCTAGGGAAAAGGGATATTTCCATACCCCATATACCATATAAATATCTTCGCCTGGGTAAAAGATTGTCGTATGTTAATTTCGGCAGGTTGTGGGAAATCGCGATTGAAGTTTGGAATAGAATTTCTCAAAAACGCGAAGATGGATTTTCTCCAAAGTCTCTGAAAATGTTACTAGTTCACAAAACTCTTAAATTATTTAATTTTTAATGTTTAATGTTAATTAGCTTTGAGTTTATGAAGGATTTTCTTTAGTAAAATTTTGTCGTAAGCGTCATTTGTCCACAATTTGGCAGCCATTTTGTATGAAATACGACATCAAAATTTTGATCAAAATTTCTACCAAATTAACGACACTTTTTACTCAATATCTCGGAAACTAACGGAGATATGCAAAAATGGGGAACACCATTTCTAAGGTATTAATTAGTTTAATATGACTGCATCACCAACTAAATTTTTGCTAAATTATCGAAAAAGTTGTAGTCAATATCTCGGAAACTAAAGGAGATGTCTAAAAACTGATAACACCAATCGAAAGGCCTTATTTCAAAATATATAACTGCATCTGGAACTAAAAATCGTCAAAATAGCGCTTACGAAAATCGTTTACCCAGGCGACGATATGTTCACGTATTATTTTAAACAAACCTTCTTGCAGAGGAGTTATTTAATTTGCAAAAGCCGAAAAAAACGTGTGCTTAGTAAATAGATTAAACATTTGTATGGCTCACTTCATTTCAAATGATTTTTCATTGGTTTTGAAAAATTATAAAAATGAAATTGAGCGAAAACAAAGAGCAAAGCCAAAGCCAAATAAAAGTACAAGAATCAACATTGAACTGCGTCAAAATGAAAATAAGGGAGCACGAATTTCGATGTGAAGCAAAACTGTCTGGTAATTATTGTACCATGAATGAGCATAATGAAAACAGAAATCGATTAAGCGGTGACTGTCTGTCCGTCCGTCCGTCCGTCTGTACACACGATAACTGGAGTAAAACTTGAGATATCTTAACGAAACTTTGTATGTGTACTTCTTTTCAGCGTATACATTTTTGGAAAATGGGCGTAGCCACGCCCACTTATAATTACATCTGTATACTTGGCACGGTATTGGCCTTACTATTATTGTTATTTTATTTTTTCCTCCGAAACGTTTTTTTATTGTAGCTATTTCTTAGTGAAAGTGTTCGCCTTGTTCATCACTGAACTGGCCCAAATTATGTGGGAAAAAGTCTAAATGAAAATGAAGGAAATTAATTTTTATGGACATGTTAAAACCCATTCAACCGTAAGTATTCAGAAATTCGTTAACAACCGTGACATATTTAGTCGTCGCTTCTGTGGTTTCCAAAGAAATTATTGCATAGCGCTACAAAACACTTCCATGGACGTTTTCTACATAGCTTAGCTTATTCAAAAAGCTCACTTCGCTCATAATTTTACGAAGTTGAGGCCCTAGGAAAATACCTAAAATTCATAAAAAGAGATAAAACCGATGAAAAAGTACTAGATGAGAGAATACAAAATTATTACCTCCTTTTATTTGGCTTCACTTAATTTTTGGAACACCACTTTAAGATGACAAATAGCGTTGCTATTTACATCCATTTTTTTACAATTAGGTGTATTCTCGGAGTCTTGCAAAGCTCTTGGACGGTGCATAGATTGCACGAAAAAGACCGGTTTTCCTATGGGACAGCTTTGCGAACCGTGCACCGTGCAAGGGCTTTGCAAAACTGTGAGAATACCACTATAGTTTCATATATCCTAGCTTTAAATGCAGTGGTTGTAGGATAACATTTTCAGCTTTAACCAATCGGATGTTTAAAACGTTTTCCGGCCTATTTAATGCTGTTCTCGGGATGGCCATACTTTGCATACATAGAAAACTTCAAATTAAAAAAAAAAAGAACTGTCAGCAAAAATTTTTGAGTTGTATGGCTGAAAATAATTTTTTTTTAATTTCTTTTCAGAAAAAGTTTAGTAACTCAGTAAACTTTCGTACGATGTTTGAAAACAAACACTGGGTTTTTTCGCTATTAAATTTAGTTTTACAATTATTTTAGGACTAGTAAGGTTTTCTTATAAAATAGTGCGTAAAAACCTCACCAAAATTGAAAAAAGGCGAAATAAGTATAAAAAAAAATGTGTTTGCTGGGTAAATACACGCAGATCTCTTAAGGTTTCTTTATTGACATATACAGTATTGGCCAATACAATAGCACCCCCATTTCAAAGTGATATTGTTTGCCACTCATGTTTATTTATTTATTTTTAAGAATTTTCAATTAAAATACAGTTCATTCTCTCACAAAACTCACATAAACTCAAGTTTAAAACTTTTTAAAAGACCGCAAAAAAGCCCAACAAACTTTCCCTTAAATTTCAAACTTTTTTCTCAGAAGCGGTAGAATTTTTTTAAATACACAGTTGTATAGTTCAAGTGGCTAAAAATTACCGTTGATTTTTTAGAATTTTTTTCGCCGAGGATGTTGCGGGTTTCTGCCATATAAAAATAAATTGTGTTTAGTCGTTATATGGAAGCAAATGAGACAAAAAAAATTCTAAAAAATCAACGGTAATCTTTAGCGACTTGAAACTTGCACATTATTGGACAAAATTGAATGCGCTATAAAACTGTGTACTCAAAAAAATTCCAGAGCTTCTGAGAAAAAAGTTTGAAATTTAAGGGAAAGTTTGTTGCACTTTTTTGTGGTCTTTTAAAAAGTTTAAAACATTGGTTTATATGGGTTTTGTTGGAAAATGAACCGTATTTTAATTGAAAATTCTTAAAAACAAATAATTAAACATAAGTGGCAAACAATATCGCCTTGAAAGGGGGGTGCTATAGATATGTCCAATACTGTATGTATATCGTTCGAAAGGGGCTGTCTGGCAAATTTCATATTTCGATTCTGGTTTTACTCGAAAAGACCTACCAGAAAATATACATAATTTCAAAGGTATTTTTTATTGTCGCACAGTGTTATTACTTACATACATCAATTTTAATAAAAAGGCTGATAAATGAACTAACAAATTCGCACACTTTTAAAATGTATATTTGATACATGTTTTGGTCCACAAAAAATTAGGTAAGTGGCTGTGATGACCTGAGGGCACAATAGACCTGCTGGTCGCAGTGCTTTATTCAAGTATCTATCTTTGTGCGCATTTTACCGTTTTTTCGTACATTTCTCAGGTTATTAATTTCGTTATTAGTTGAAAGTGGAGTTTTCTTCATTCGCCATGTAAGCAGATAGAACGTAGTTTCCGAAAGCTCGATTTTTAGAAAGTAAAACTGCTTTCGAAACTCCAATTACATACAAGGTGACAGACTTTTCAAATCCAGTTGTACTTGTCTCGTCTAACATCTCTTTTTTAGTTTATTTAATTACAACAGCAAATTTAATGAATGTATGTACATATGTATCTCTCTGTTCATATTCACCTACATAAATATGTGTATGATTATTCTAAATGTGACAATATTATATTTGTAATTTACAAAATCACGTATTACTGGCTGTCTGTCTGTCTATTATATTATGCGTGGATGCCACAATGCAGCAACAGCAAGTGCTACAACAAACACAACGCCACCAAACAGTAAACCAATCTACGAATTCATTTGAAAAGTTTGCGTTCGCTCCATCGACTCCAATAAGTGGTGAATATTCGGAAGATCGCCAAAAAAGTGTTTCAGAAAGTGGGCAAAATGTTTCCGCTATGCTTACTACACAGAGGTTGCCATCTTCAGATACAACTACAGCGCAAAGCATGCGGAGTGAAAGCGATGCCAACGAATCCGGTGCGTACACAGAAGCCGGTAAACCCTTTGAATCACCAACAACAACGTCAACTTTTATGACAACGTCAGTTAGCAGACATATCAAAAAGGTGAAAACCCTGCTAATAAATCTAAATGCCGTATATTGTACATGAAATCGCTATGTTGCGGGGCGTATTCATCAAAAGTTAAAAAAATAAAAAACAAAACAAAAAGAGCAATCAAATTTGAAAGCTCACAATCGTGGAGTGTGCAATTTTAAGAAGAAAATAAACCCAAATCAAAATAGTTGAATGCATGTGTGAAGACGAAACACATTTGGTTAGCACCTAATATCCAGGCTACACCTGTGCCATCCTACCCAGTCCGAACACCCAGCCACCACCCACCACCTGCATGTAAAAACATATAGCAGTGCATCGTTCATTATTTAGCGAATAAATTGGCGTCAAAATGAAATTCAATGGCCTACATACAGTCGACTTTCCTTCGTTGACTGCTGTTTTGCTGTTTTCTTTTTTCAGATTTACATATAACTGAACTTCGTTAATCATCACATATTACTTTTGCACATTCACACCTCATAAAGTTGTTAATTGTCTTACTGTCTGTTGCATGGCTACTAAATTAAATCGTAATTTGTTGTATGTCTTGTACGTATGTATGTATGTAGATATGTACATACACATTTGGGTATGAAAAAACTCCGCTATGTTGAATACTAACCTTTTCGCAATTTCGTAGATATTTACGTAGAGAGTACGGACTTTATAGGAGAAAACAATTTATGTAATGTTTAAGGTACCGTTCTTTTCGTCTGCTGAAATTAATCTCAAATGTTTGTACAATGCTTAAGGTTGGGTATGTTTAGGGGAACTACTATTGTATTAAAGAACGAATATCTCAATAATTTTTCTCTTATCATTTAATGTTTAATATAAAGGAAATGGTTGCATGCATATTTCAATTTCAATTTCATCTTCCCTTAAATAAGCTATAGAAACTTATTCCGTTTATTTCTTTTCAAAAAACATCTTCAAATCGCAACACTAAACAATCAACGAATCGAAATCAGGATGACAATGAGACGAGCACACTACTGCCAGCACAAGACTCCAGTCGCACGGTAAGCTGCAATATAAAATATACATATTTGTGCTAAAAAACAAACTCACGACATTTCTCCTTCACAATATTTTTTAGTTACAAATACCTTTAATATTAGTATAAAGTGTAATTGTGAAAGACTTAAAAAATTAAACGTCCGTGGCGATGTCGCGTACCACTGTGACATGTACACAAAAATTAAATTTTATACTCAACCGTTCCATAATTTCCAATACTTTTAGTCGCACTCCACAATTGACCAGTACAGTAGCTCTCCCACAACTACGATAAGTTCATCAACAACTTCAACGTATAGTACGACACCCACAACAGTGAGTGAAGCTATTTCGCCCTCTGCTGGCTCTGGCGATTACGTTGAAGCTAAAGTGGAAAACACGCCGCCGATGATTCGCACTCGCTTGCAGAAGTTCGCTGTAACATCTGGGAAAGCCTTCTCGTATTCGGTGCCGCAGGATACCTTCTTTGATACCGAGGACCTTACAAATCTGCGCTTAGATTTGACAGACAAGGATGGACGCGAATTAAAGGCCTCATCTTGGCTGCAGTTCAATCCCGAGACACATGTCCTTTATGGACTGTAAGTATGAATTATTCTACGCTTTATATCTACATTATAATGAAATTGATTCGCTTGTTTGCTTGTAGGCCGTTGGACGATTCTGTATCGAAATGGCAATATCGGTTATCGGCAACCGACTCCGGCAACGAGTCTGTAACGGAGACTCTTGAGATATCTGTCCAGCAGCATCGCGGTGTACGCACTGTCAACCACGAGATAAGCATAACTGTAAAGATCAATGAGAAAAATATGCACAACATTGATTGGCAGCTAAAACTGATGCGCGGTTAGTAAATTGAACGTTCGTTTTTATTTGGAGATAAATAAGCATTAATTCGCTTTTCTGTTTTCGTTTTAGATGTTGCTTCAACTTTGGGCGATGAAAACACCAACTGGATTGTGGTGCGCGAGATTCGTCCAATGCCGCAGGACCCGAATACGGCCACTTTTGTGTATTTCAACGAAACGTTTCCCACCAGCGAATGCCCAGAGGCAGAACTCAATAAATTAGTGAAGCGTTTGGATGCAAGTCGTTTGAGTGATTTGGTGTATCCCACATTGAGTGTGAAGTCCATAACTGGCCAGTTAATTGGTTCCTGCCAAAAAACGCATTTAACTAAGCCGAAGCCCACAACTCACATATCAACTAATGTACCTCCACTACCCCGTAATCAAGTGGATCGTGTCAATGCTACTGTTGGTCATTTGCTTGTTTTCAAAGTTCCGAGTGACACATTCTACGACCCCAACGACAACGAGCAACTAACGTTGACGCTAAAAACAAAAGACCACAAGGAATTGAATCCTAGGCATTGGTTGCAATTCGATTCGAAGAATCAAGAGTTCTATGGCATACCAAAGAGTGGGGATGCTGGTTCAGAAGAGTACTTGTTGGTCGCCCAAGATGCTGGCGGGCTTACTGCAACAGATGCATTGGTGGTAGTGGTGAATCATGCTCCTAAAAAGGAGTTTAGTGTCTACTTCAAAGCGTACCTGGCAATTCGACATGAGCAATTTAATGCCGATCTTCAGCGAAAATTTGTAGAGCGTGTTGCTCATCTGTTCGGTGACTCAAATACACAATATGTGCAAATTCGATCGGTGACGACACATCACGACTCAGACAGTACGATTGTTAACTTCTATAACACGAGTTTGTACAAGTCGCATAATCGTTGTCCTGAAGAGGAAATTGAGGCAGTTCGCAGCGTGTACTTGGTTAAGGATCATATGGTACGCGACCATGTTAAAAAAGTGCTTGGACCTGAATTAAATCTTACAAATGTTCAACCGTTGCCATTGGGCTTATGCCATCGTAAGTTTCAATTTATAAGTTGCGTTTCGGAAATGTTCTTAAAAGTTGTTCACACTATCTATTATATTTAGCTCAAACGGATATTATACATCGCGACTATGTACCCACGAAGACGGATCAGCCAACGCTGAAGTCCAGCTTCAGTGACGAGTATTTGTATACAATAATACTTCCGGCCGTGATTATAATCAGCATGATTATAATCGCTTTGCTTATTGCTTGTTGTCTGCATCGTCGTCGTCGAAAGAGCGGCAAAATGGAGCTCGGTAAGGATAACTAAAAATTTTCCTATTCATTAAAGTTAAAAATTGAAAACGGTATTGGAATATTGTTTACGATTCGCTGCTAAAATAAGCCCAATAATGTTCTTATTTGTGGATTAACGGGCTACATTTTATTATAGGGCGCTAGAAAAACTCCACTCCAAAATATAGCAAAAGTCAAAAAAGTTAACGAACAGATAACTTGAAATCCTGCCACTAGACTGCCCAGCGCGTGTTAAGATGTGGTGGTAATTTTGGTCAGACCCGTGCTTTTTTCATTGTCTTTCTGTTCTTTATATAGCGCAATAACCGCTGAGCGATATTTTCATCGTAAACTAAGTATGTTTCTATATTTCTGGCAAAAACTGATATAGGTCGTTGTCCTATTGTAATACATATTTTAACCAAACCAAATGTTTCGTTATATCTATAGTTTCGTTATGTTTATAGAATATCAAAGCCTCAAATCAACGAAAAATGCAAAATTTTGACAAAAATTCATTTTAAGTATAGTTTGGTTTTTATTTAACGGGACTTTAACCGTCAACATATTCAGAATTCAGTATGTAAAGGCTTTTGAGTCGACACTTCGTTATGAGCGGCTTTTTCTAATCAGTGTTGCCGTTTTAGTCCTTTGGTGGATAGATTTAGCTACCACATACTTTTTTTGGCCACATAAATTTAAAATTGCCCCTAGCCCTTTTTTTAGCCCTTTGGAGAATTTATTCATACTTGGCATGAAAAAGTTGTATATGTTTAATTTGATCTCATTTTTTTCATTTATGTAAGAGACGAATATGTAAACTACCCAACAAGCAAAATAAACTTAAAGAAAGTTTTTTTTAAGTTTTCAATTATAAACATTAAGCTTACAAAACGTTGATTTTTTGTTTATAAAACGCTTGAAAGTAAGCGTAATATAATCGAAAAGGAACATTGGTTATAAGCGTAGAAATATAAACTTGTAATAAATGTTCAAAAGAAAGCTTTTTATAAGCGTAAAAGTGTAAACTTATAATAAAGGTTCAAAAAAAGTTGTTTATAAGCGTATGAATATAAACTTACTACAAATTTTCAAAAGAAAGCTTTTCATAAACATTTTTATAACCCTTTATTTAAAGATATTAAAAGAAATGCGAATTTTCGGCGGACTCATCTACAGTCGCGAAAATATAAATAGGGAATAGACATTTTAGCATACAAATTCACGATAACACACAAAAATTAAGCATAAAAAAGTTAATTATTACATCTTGTTGCGTGCTTGCAATTACATGCTGTTATCGGCAAATTGGAAAAACGATGCAGCTATATATTCCGCTTCATCGCCGCCATTCTCATTGATGAACTTTTCTGAAAAAAATTTTATACATTTTTAATAGAATGTTAAACTAAGAAAGGATAAGGAGAACTCATCATTTGAAGACTCGAATGCTCCACCGATTAGCGCAGCGGGTCCTGGATTGGATTTTTTTTTACCGCATCGTTTTTATTTAATTTTTTCTTTTAATAATATATATTAAAAAACGTAAACACGTCACTTACGATTGAAGAAATGTTATATTTACTTCATGTCGTTGGCATTTGCATTTCATTTATAAGTTTAAGTTATTTATAAACATTCGCTCTCAAAACTTATTAAAGGTTTATTTGAAAAAACTTTTAATAAGCTTAATATTAAAAATGTTTATTTAACGCTTATTATAGCAAACTTACTTTAAGTTATTTTTAAAAACATTTACTGAAATGCTTGTTGGGTAAGAAAGACTGATATATATACATACATATCTATATGTATTGTATATTCCTTACGTTTTTATACATACATACTGTAAAAGTGTTAAGGCTGTTAACTTATCTATTAACGATTTAACTATAGTTTAAAGTAGATAAGTTTACTGCCCTTAATATACTTAATTTGTTAAATGGCCCATTAATTCGTTTGACCGTGTATGTTCTTGGGTGTGATTATACCAGCTGCTGGTGTCGTTAGTGGTGAAATGAGTTCAATTTTCTAAGTAAAAAGTATTTTGGCGGAAATTTCTTGCACAATATAAGTCAAAGCCGTGTTTGTGGAAGATTAAGTTCACGATATTGTAGTTGTGAATTTAAAAAAAAAAACAATCTTTCAACAAAATGGTAGAAAAATTATGAAATTTCGGCTGAAATCATTTCGATGTTTCCTCGGCCTCATTTGTATACAAAAAGGTTTTTGGTTGGATAAAATATTTGCTTTTTTCCAGAGTTCATTGTTTTTCTATACCATTACTTATTGAAAATGTTTGCGTGTATACTTACAAATGTATATGTACGTAAAAAATTTTAGCTACCATTTTTAGCCACCACGACATTTTTATAGCTCTTTTTTAGCCCTTTAGCGCGGCAACACTGTTTCTAATGCCCAAAATTACTTCGTTATATCCATAGATCATTGTTGTGTAGAAAATTTTGCAGCAACGAGGTTTTTTCAGGGGACTCAGCAAAAACTTAGTTATATTGAGTTTTTCGTTTTATCAAGGTTCTCTATATCGAGGTTTTACTGTTATAACATGCAAGTTTTACACAATTGAAGCATGATAGTATTCATTATTAGCCATATTCAAGATGTGGCAGTCCTTTAGTAAATAAGCCATACGTATCTAGTATGAATTTTATTTTATCTAGAAAGTTTGCTTTCAATGAAATGATAGCTGGAAAAGTGCAGTTGATTTTGGTGTATTTAGTTTTTCTCGTGGCGGAATATAAAATCCTTTTACTATATATATTTTTTTTTATATTCAAAAGTTCCATGAATGTATAAAGTATATATATTTTTTCTGTTTTTTAGGTGATGAGGAGGAGCGTAGATCATTCCGAAAGAAAAATATACCGGTAATTTTCCAAGATGAGTTGGACGAGAAGCCTGAGATCGGCAACAAAAGCCCAATTATATTGAAGGACGAAAAGCCACCATTGCTGCCACCTTCTTACAACACCTCCAATATGAATGGTATGTATCGGTTTGTTTGTACCCATATGTGTGTACATCATTATAACTACATTGAGTGTATACAAATAATCAGGGCTATCACAGAATCCATCGTAGCTTCTAATCCGAATAGCTACGAACGTAAATTCGACATTTGTAGAGAGCCTTCATTGAATCCGTTCGTAATGAAGATTCGTACAGATACTCTAACGACGAGTTTATGCTGTAGGAACAAAATTTAAAATCACTGAATCCTAATGAGGTTGTTCACACTTGCCTGGTTATTAAGTTATCTGGTCAATAATTATTATGCTTATTTTATTGTTGTAAACTGAATAAAAACTATACTTTATTACTACTTTATTAGGAAAGAAGTCTAATTACTTTAATATCACAAAAATTAATAAAAAAATATATATTTTTCTCTTTAAAATGATAAAATCTAAACTAAAGGGAAAAATTAAAAAAGAGAACCAAAAATTAACTAAAAATAAAAGAAAGAAAAAGCTCCGCTCGAATTCGGATCTCTCAATTGGCAGTCTAGTGTTTTACTCACTCGGCCATTGTGACTTCTGGGGCAGCGTGAGCAAAATGGCATACGTAAATGTCTATTATTTCTTTTGCACTAGCTAATTTCGAATGAACATTCGAAGCTGGCAACGATATTTTCGAGTTCACTCGGATTCAGTGATAGCAATTTTTATCGTATTCGTAGCAGGCATTCGAATTCGTAGATTTTCTACGATGGATTCCGTGATAGCCCTCAATACATTTTACGCGTTTATTATAGGTGAAAACGATGTGGATGAATACGTACCACCGCCAGCTGTCGTGGTCGGCGGTCGTGAAGCGAGAGGGAAATCACCAGCCACGCCTTCTTATCGGAAACCGCCACCATATGTTTCGCCATAAATATGTGAAATAAATGTCAAACATTGGAAGAATACAAAAGCAAAAACTTAGTTTGCTAATGCAGCTTAACTTGAAATACTTGGAAACTTTACTACTTAATTCACTACTTATACATTTTTTAGTTATTTAATGTTGTGTAAGCAGGAACAAAAGTGAAGAACGTTTAATACATACTTAAACGGCACAAAAGATAAAACGAAATTACGAAACCGAAGTAAGGATAACGAGCAAACATTCGATTTTGCTACATATGAAACGAATAATCATCTCGCATTGTTGGAACCTATGAGAAAGTTCATATAAATGATTAAGTCATAAACAATCGAATGTGCAAAGTTCTTTCTCAAAATAAAATATACGTAGATATTCATTGAACTATACAATATTAAAGAAAAATTAAAGTAAATTACAATGCTCTAAGGTTTTAAGAATTTTCTCTTTAAAATTACTCTATTGTTCGTCGTTTCCCCGAAAACAGTGATGAAAATTCTGCGTTGCAGATTCTTAGAAGCTCTTGCATTGTACTATTTACCACTAATAAGGGAATAACTTATTAAAATGTTAAGACATTCATTTCGCAGAAAGAACAGCAATTTAAAGGAGTGAATCATTTGGATTACAACATTACACATGAAAATCTTGCTTAAAGGAATGTATTGGACATAATGATCGTTTTCTTTCGTTTTAAAGTTTTGCTTCAAGCGCTTCCGTTATAGCGAAAAACACTATCCCACTGGTCGGGGGTTCAAAAAAATATTTACTAGAATCAGAAATAATCTAAGGATATTGAGGTAAGATGTCGTTATGTAATCAAAATAAGAACGTGTCACAATCATATAAACGTTTGTATTACCTAAAACTTTTTCAATAAACTATACAACCGTAATGTTGTACGCAAGATAATCGCTCATGCGTATTTAAAAGCAATTTCTATCATATATGTATATGTATATTAAGATTAAAGGGAATAACAACTCAGTGCATAAAAAACTATGCACACAAATTGGTTGCATATCACTATCCGAATGTGAAAAGGAGCCAAGTAAGCGTTTTTAAATTGAGATTTATTTTGTATATTTAATAAAAAAAAATGTAACGAATATTTAATATACCTGCATATCTGCAAAAAGAGTCAGGATCCCATTTGTCAACAGACTTGCGTTAAGTCTTATTATTTCCCATTGTTTACTAAACTTGACAATTTTCGCTGAACAGATAAAAGACCTTTTCACCTTCTGGTAGCGATGCGTCCTTTAGATGGGTTAATCAACAAAGAAGCTAAACTCGAAACTCGTTTTATATATTTTTATACATTATTTAAAAAAATGTAATAAATCATATAAAGCGATACATGTTCAGTATCTGTTATTGAAAAAATTAGTAATAGACTATTATTTGCCGGCATATAAAATATTATTTGACTGCTTAAAGTAATGAAATTCGACGACTTTACATACATATGAAAATTGTTTACAATTTCATTACGTTTTATCAATGGTTTGTTTTCTTCAATTAGCACTTGACTGAACGACAATCACAATTCCCTTCAAAAAGTAAATAATTTTCATTCAAAAATGAATTTTTGTACAAATTATGTGAACTTTTGAGTATTGCAGCTAGTGCGTAAATGATGATTTAAAAACGCACTCTTAATATATAAGCAGCTGTTAAAATTTGTAAAATTATCTTTTATGTACACAGTTTTATTTGTATTATTATACTTACACTTAAATAATTTTCATATTTGCATACCTTTATATACATACATACATACATACATAAATAATAATAAACAAGTTTATGTAGAACTTTAAGATTAACTTAAAACGATTGAATTTTTTTTATACTTGCTTAGTTGCAATCCAACATCTCGAAAATAATCCGTCAAATGCTTGCGAAAAGTAACATTTCAAACGAAAGTTGTAACAATAAAATGCCAAAGATAAAAGACATTGTAATTTAATTTCGCCATACAAATTGAATAGGCATACTACATATCTTAACAACAAGTCTCTCTCTTAAACCAATCAGTTATTACATGGATTTGTTCGAATTCATTTGGATTCCTCATTAGTTGTCGCTATCTGCTCTTGAGCCTTTTATTATCACATTGTCATTTAAAATTCTAAGCAAAGGCTGCCCAGAAATCACTGTAATCTGTATATCTAATTTTGTTCAAGTGACATTTGTTACGGCTCTTAACTTCCATTTTCGCTTCATAAAGCATTAATTAATTAAGGAGTGTGGTGGAACATATTTTAAATCAAATATCATGAATGCATATTCATTACATGTATATGGGTATATTTTGCAGCTTTGACACAATATTTAGACGCCAGAAGCTTCCATCCAAATAAACGCAATTAACTTAGAAGGAATAAAAAGAAATTAAATGAATAAAGCATTTTTTAAAAAGAACTTACATATATGTACGTGAGTTAAAACTGAAACAATCTAACATATTTTATAACAAAGTAAAAATAAAATAAATATGTAAAAAAATATGTACTTTTATTGATGTATGTATTGAAATGCTCAAAGTATTTACATATCGCTCATTTGCTATACGACTATAATATTTCAAAACAAAACCGAGATATTTACTTATATACGGACACCCGTAAAGTTTTACATTTACTTTCGAAATGAAGAAAATAAAGCGACACATTCTCTTCCCTCGCGGAAATCACGTACACGATTTTAGCACTAAATTTTTACACAAAATGAAGTAAGGTATAACGCGAGTAATTTTGAATCTTTATCTCAAAAATGGCATTTTAAGCGTTGCAGCAGTTTTTAAGTAAATGAGCGATATGGACTAGAATGATATAACCCCGCCATTAGTGCGAATGCTTCTAATTGACTTTTCTTGGATATGCGTTTTATTTAATATTCTGTTTATTTGCAACGGATACAGCCACACACATCAAACAACACCGCAAGTATTTAAACACTTTGTTGCTTCCATAAAGGCTGGTAATTAATCAATTATAATCAGAGCCCTTTTGATGGATGATGATAAGCACGTATGCATAGTGTATGTATGTATGTACCTTCTGACTTTGTAAAATATTTTTCATAGACTACATACATACATATGTATGTAAGTATAATAAGTGTATCACAATCTGGAGTTGTGTACATGCTTTCATATGCATATTTCGATGAATTCACAAAATTTATTTACGCACTGTGGCCATCCATGCACGTGCCAGTCTATATGGACTTTAATACAAAATTTGATGTTTACAATTAAGTACGTGATTTATAAAACATTTCATTAAGTCAATATCTACCCACCTTCATTCGCGCAGAGAAAACTAAAATTAGAAATACTGCATACATACATAAACGCCAAAATATGCAACTTTTACCCCGCACGATTTCAACATGAATATACCGAGCCCTAACCGCCAAAATAACGTAAGCGACATTTTTTTCAAAATTTTCTTTTTGATGTAGAAATATTCCTAGAGCATCTAGATGCATTTCTGCATCGAAAATAAAATTTTGAAAAAAATGTCGCTTACGTTATTTTGGCGGTTAGGGCTCGATACTATCTATTCGTTCACAAAATTGTTGAAGTTGCCTATAACTTCTTCGAATTGCTTACCTGTTTGCGCACACTGTACTCGTATTATCTATATGAACCACCGTCGGAGTTATCAACCCAGCCATGTTATCTAAATTCAATCGCACCAAGGAGAATACTTGAACAAACAAAATAAATGTAAACAAATACAATAATTATATATAAGTACGTAAGTAGCCGAACAAATTGACACACGAATGACTCTAGAAACACATCTACGATTGCAGGCAGAAAAATAAATATATGTAGTTATTTGTAGCATATATGTATGTATATCGTTTATTAATTCACGAAGTCCCTAACCAACAAATTTTTTATTTTGAAGGAGAAGCAAAAAGCATAAAAAGAGTATCAACAATGGGTAGGCGTTTTTTAAAAAGTGGCATGTAACTCCGTTGTTTTTAGCACTGGCACTTTAAAATTTTTACTGAAGGTGTATTTTAATACATTCTACTAAAATGTGTGTAAAAGAGTTTGGTTGGAGTTAGCGCCTTTGTAAATTAATGTAGCGATATGTATTATTGCATATGTATGTACACACATCCTACTTAGTACATGCATGCATACATATGTATATGTATGTATATGTAGCAAACTAAGCAAATAACACGTAAATAATAATGAATGTGAAGGAAGAAGCGTTGACTGAAAATGTCAAATTTTATTTTAATTGTAATGCGAACAATGCGGGTATTAAAAAAAAAACGTCGTGCTATATAAAATCACACATGCAAACCCCCATACGACATATGTATGTATGTATATTAATATTATTAGACAACCACAAATATAAAAAAGGAAATGACTATAACAAAACGAGGGATTGTCTATAAACGACAGGAAACTTTCAAAAAGAGTATTGTAGCAAACCGAAGTTAAAATTCAGAAATTCCAATGTCATATTGTATCATACTATTATTGTACTTGCATATGAGATTGAATACATATGTATATACATATGTATATTGTGTAAGTTCGTGTATGTTGTATACAAGAAAATTTTGTATGAGTAATAATGTATTAAATATAATACGTGTAGTGGATTGGCAACTAAAAAACTATTACATTACTGGATTTGCATCAGTGAGAAGAGTAATTAATCGCTTTGAATTTTGAAGAGAGCCAATACTAAATATTTATATTTTGATAAATTTAAATAAATAAATAATTGCCCAAAATAAAATATTTTTCAATAATTGCAGAAAAATGGGAATTTCGACGCTCAAAATATAAAGAAGTTCTGTCTCGCGGTTTTCAAAAGATGCGCGGACAGGATGGTTGTTAGTACCCAGCACACACAGTGAAAATAATAATAATAAGTAATAATAGTAATAAGTGAGTATAATAGTGAAATTGCTTTCCGCCTGTAAGTATCCCTCAATTTTTTTTTTGTCGAAATCTTATTCGGCACTCACGTCACTGCCGATAGTTATAATTTGGAGGAGGTAGAGAGAATTAGTATGTTCGATTAGATCTCCAGTGAAAAATAGCCAGCAGCAACTTGCAGAAGAGTAACGAGCGATTCGCTCTCAAATTGGAAAATATCCAAAAAAAAGTATGCAAACGCAAAATTAGCAAAAACTTGTAAGTTTTAGGTACAGCTGATTGGAACTTTGTTTACATACAAAGTTATAAATAAGAAAACATGAAACGAATATAAATTAAAAGTTTGCCTAAAATTATTTGCTAAGCAAACGTAAAAAAATGAGTATTTGCATTCTTCCCAAATAGTTGGAGTTATAAGTTATAAGTTATTTTAAACGTAAAAATTATGATTCAATAATACAAGGTTAGATAACACTGGATCACATATTCTAATTTTGGATTTTGTTCTCCAGACGCCAATATCCAATTTCTATGTAGAATTGCTCGGCGATTCCGAAATTCGGGTTAATTTTTTTTCTATGGATACGTTTTCGAGATATTTGCGATTTACCGTTATTCAGCTTAAAGCAAAAAAATTGGTTACTTTTAATCACGTATATCTTACGAACCAATTTAAAAAATACGGCAAATGAAAGCCAATGAAATTCTCCATAAACCGTGTATACATCACTTTCCGATAGGGCTTATAGTTTCTAAGTTGTAAATGAAAATCCGCAAAAGATTTTTCGTATGAAAATGAACAGGAAAGAAGGTTACTCATACGCCACGTACACCCGAGTAACACGCTTTATTGCTCGTATTTCATACAAAAAAATCTTTGCGAATTTTCATTTACCAGTCATTATTTCGCATTTATCCATCGATTTTCTTCTTCATCGATTTGTTTTATTGATTTTTTCATTAAAAAAATAAAAAAAGCTGGAATAATTAATTAATTTATCATAAACAGAACAGGCTTTAGTACAAATGCGAAATATTTGGCACAGAACCTGTTATTTTATAAACTTTTCTTCTGTTAAAGTTTGATTTTTTTTTAATGTTTTCATTAAAAAATAAAAAAAGAGCTGGAATGATTAATTAATTTGTCACATACTAACGGGTGATTTTTTTGAGGTTAGGATTTTCATGCATTAGTATTTGACAGATCACGTGGGATTTCAGACATGGTGTCAAAGAGAAAGATGCTCAGTATGCTTTGACATTTCATCATGAATAGACTTACTAACGAGCAACGCTTGCAAATCATTGAATTTTATTACCAAAATCAGTGTTCGGTTCGAAATGTGTTTCGCAAACCCAATTGCTGCGAACGGCGACGAATCGACATTTCACGGTCTTCAGCAACACTCTCAGAAACAGACGCAATATTCTCTTCTGTACGCACTGTACGCATTCGTGTGGTTGGTTTAATGTCCAATAAAGTAAACTGAGTGCGAAACTTGGTCACAATCGCATTAATTGTTTGCTCACTTGGTCGATTATGTAGACCATAAATCGGACGTAAAGCGAACCGAACACTGATTTTGGTAATAAAATTCAATGATTTGCAAGCGTTGCTCGTTAGTAAGTCTATTCATGATGAAATGTCAAAGCATACTGAGCATCTTTCTCTTTGACACCATGTCTGAAATCCCACGTGATCTGTCAAATACTAATGCATGAAAATCCTAACCTCAAAAAAATCACCCGTTATAAGCCCTATCGGAAAGTGATGTATATACGGTTTTTGGAGAATTTCATTGGCTTTCATTTGCCGTATTTATATTACGATTTTTAATTTGGTTCGTAAGATATACGCGATTAAAAGTAACCGATTTTTGCTTTAAGCTGAATAACGGTAAATTGCATATATCTCGAAAACGTATCCATAGAAAAAAAAACATAACTCGATTTTCGGTATCACCCAGCAATTCTACATAGGAGTTGGATAGTGACATCCATAGAACTTTTTTGCTGTAAACCAGTGTAATTATTGACAGCGGCGGTTTGACACTCCCTTACAAAATGTTGCATTTACGAAGGACGGAGAAAAGGGAAGAATGAAATCCCTTGGTTCGAAAATGGTAGTAGAAAAGTACGCAAAGTAGGCAATTAGTGGTGAAATTCCTTTTGTAAATTCTAATGTATTTGCAGGAAATCTGGCATTTTAAATGAAATGTTGAACGAAATATTAATATATATACGTGAATTACATAATTTATGTGCTATTTAGCTGTATAAAAATTGCAAAAGGACTCAGAATTAAAATAAAGCTGCTATGAGATTTATGTAAAAATCCAATTTAAAAACACTATGTTTTCATCAGTTAAATGTGCTTCATAACCATATATACAAATAAACATATTGCACAAAAGCTTATACTTCTATTTCACACCAAAGCTACACTTTTTCCCAAGTAAA